GGGGGGGGGATGGTGGGCAGAGTAGTTTTTACCTTCATTTTACCCATTTATCTATGCCAACTTATTACATAATATTTAGGGCTTATAAAAAGACACAAAGGTTCTGTATTTAGATATATGGCTAAATAGATAGCCTGAATGGCTCTCTCAATGACAAAAACTGGTGACCTTGAGCTTCCGTTTTCACCTCTTCTGGCAAAGGGAGAGTAAGAGACAAAGGCAGGAACTACCCAAAGTGGGAAGTGTGATAAAAGATCCCTCCATAAAGCTGGGATCTGAAAGAATTATATGCTCTGTGTAAGGACAAATTAGAAACAAACCCTATACACCTCCCATTGTGTACAGTAAGGAAAAGTCATGCCTCAAATCTTGATGCCAAGTAAAGAGGAAAAAACCTCCCCTAAGAATTAGTAACTACAAGCTGGTATTAAGGTTTACAGCCTGGATTCACACTAACTGGGAAGTCTAGAAAACCTCCAATCCTTAGCATAAAGTGGTTTTGGGAAGACAGTACCTCCACATGGCAGAAGTGAACAGCTATATCTGGAAGAACCTACCAACAACCCAGGCCTCAAAGAATCCCATAGGTGAAGTCTAGGGAATGAGTATATATTTTAAAAAGACATAAATCACAAAACAGATAAAGAAACAAAGTATTATGAGTGAGAGTCAGCAGAAATGACAATAGAACAAGACTTACCACCACTTCAGATACTGGAATCACCAGACCCAGAATACAAAATTATGTGTAGTACGAGTGAGGCCAAAGGAAGTTTACAGTTGCAAGTATGTGAAACACAAGAGTTAATTCTTATATTATTATTTATTAATTATTGTATTATTTTCCATAAGAACAACTGTAAACCTACTTTTGTCCCACCATGCACATTTAAACAAATAAAAGTGGGAATATATGAGCAAGTAGCTAGAAATTTTAAAAACGACCAAGCCTACATATAAAAGAACTAAGTAGAATTTCTAAAAATGAAAAAATATAACAATTGAAGTTTAAAACTACATAGACAGGTTTAATAGCAGATATATCTGAAGAATTAGTGGACTTGAAGGCAGACTCACAAAAAATTATTCAAAATGAAACATAAAGAGAGAAAATGACTTTTAAAAGGTACAGAAGGGACTTGGAGGGTACAGTAAGAAGGTACAGCATATATCTGGCTAGAGTTCTAAAAAGAGAGAACTGGGGGGAGGCAATATTTGAGAAGAAAAATAGTTACAAATTTTTTAAAACTAATAAATGACACCAATTCTCAGATCCAGCAATCTCAAGCAAGATAATAAAAAGAAATCCACATTCGTACATATCGCAGTAAAACTGCAGAACACCAAAGGAGAAAACAGATCTCAAAAGCAGTCAGAGTCCATGTAATAATGATTGGTAAAGCTCAGTGATGAGTACATCCAGTTCATTATACTATTTTCTCTACTTTTATGGATGTTCGAAAATTCCCATAATAAAAATTCTTTAAAAGAGGCGGCTGCCGGTATAAATAAAACCGATTATCTACAAAGACATAATTAGACTGGCAGGTTACTTCTTAACAACAACAATGAAACCAGAAGACAAGGGAAAAATTTCTTCAGTGTGCTAACCGAAAATAACTATCAACCTAGATCCAGGTGCCCTACAAAAATAGTCCCCAAAGGCCGAACAAATGCAGCGAGATAGACATTTTCATACAAACAAAAGCTGAGAAAGTTTGCCAGGAACGCACCTGCACTAAAGGACATTCTAAAGGAAGTACTTCAGATAGAAGGAAAGGGATCACAGATGTAAGGGCTGAGACACAACATGGAAAGACGGTCAAAAAAAGAGGTAAATATATGAATAAATCTAAACTTCAACTGCGTAAAAGAAGGATGCAGGGAAGGCTTCAAATGAAGAGCTAAAATGCACGACTACAGCACCCAGGTCCGGACATCCTCAGAGCCAGGTTCTGTCTTATCTAGGAGAATGAAGATTTTCATTAACTTTAGACTTGGTTATGTTTGTTAAATTTTCTAGGAAAACTATTTAAAAAGCTAGATATTATGCATAATATCTAAATTAGTAAAAGGAAAATGCAATAGGAGGAAAATCAGTCTAAAAAAGGGACAAAAAAGGAGAGAGAAAAAGAACATAGAGATGATGGGGGCAAAGAACATAAAATAATACCACAGAAATGAATGTAAATATATCAGTAATTATTTTAAATGTAAATGGATTAAATGTTTCAGTTGAGAGATTGTCAGAAAGGATAAACAAAATATAATACATAATTTACAAAAGACACAGCTAATCATAAAAAGACAGAAAGATCGAAAGGGTAGAAACACATATACAGGGCAAAAGAAAGCGGGTATAATTATATTCATATCTGAAACAAAGGTATAAGGACAACCTTAATTTCCAGATGACCAATCAGGCTCAGAAGTTGTGTGATAAAGCAATGAGCATGGCCTCAAACTCAAGTCTGATTCCTAAATCAGGATTTTATACCATGCTGTCCCTCTGCAATCTAATCTTTTAAAAAATTTATTTATCACATTTCTGTAATATAAGTTTCATTGCAAACAACATACAAAATAAAGAGGAGCACCATAAGGGGGGAAACATAACTCTGCCATCCAAAGGTGACAGCTATTTAGCCACTGGCAGTCCAGAGGTTCACTGAAAATAAGGGTTGTGCTACCTCTGTAAGAGTCATTGGAAACCTGCTAAATAATTGATTCTAGGACCCAACCAAGAGATCATGATTCATTGGTTTAAAGTGGAGTCAAGACATGTGAACTTTTTAAAAAGTCCCAAGAGGTTCTGATGGACCTCCAGGTATGGAAACTTAATACTTGAGACTTGCACTATATAACACAGTAATCATTAACCAGGTGTCACTACTGAAATTGAAATTCATTAAAATTAAATGAAATTAAAGATTCAGTTCTTCAGTTGCAGTAGGCACATTTCAAACGTTCAATGGCCACATGTGGCTCATGGCTACTGCACTGGAAAACATAGATATAAAACATTTCCATCATCACAGAAAGTTCTATTGGTTAGCACTTCCTAGACAATAAACTCTAAGGCAAGGATTACACCTTTCTTTTTCACGGCTGTATGCCTAGCCCTGAATATATGTTAACTACGTGAGTAATTCTGACATATTTCTTTCCAGTCTTTTCTCTGTCCCCTGCTCATGTCTGAAACTGATGAGGAATCCCGAGACCTTCCCACCCTACCCTCCAACAAGGAAGAAGAGCTGTCAGTCACTGGTTTGGGCCACATGCCCTGGCACAGCCAGCCCTTAAGATCTGATTTACCACCTCTGGTTTACACAGAGGCAAAAACTCCACACTCTGTTTTCTTCCAAAGGCCACAGAAGGTAGCCCTTACCTCGTATGTTGGTTTCAAACACAGAGGCATTCACATCAATGTCAAAGTCCAAGTTGTCCTGGAGCACTTCAACCACCCTTTGGAATTCTGAGACATTCCCCAAAATCTAGGAGAAAAGAGAAACATGACAGTGAGGCTCTCTCAGGTTTGAAGGCATTGAAAATGTTAGATTAAGAGTCTGGGATCCTAAGCAGGAGTGGCCCTCACTTATTCACCTAAAGACCTGCCGTTTAAGAAAACACTGAGTGCTAAAATTCACAAAGACCCAACATCAAGAGACTGGTTAGGTAAACTCTTAGGTACCAATTCAAGAGTACCCATTTAAACAATGTAAAACTGTATAAAAACGATATAAATTGTAGACCACATTAAGGAAATCTTAGTTTGCTATTTGCAGTAAATGCCTGTTGTTTTTAACCTTCTCTTCATACTCACCCTTGTGGAAAATACTGCAGGTTGGTTCTCCCAACACTGATTCCCAATCTTCTTTACCCTTGTAGCCCCCACCACAGAGGCTGGAAATCCAGGTATTTGCTGTCTTAGCCTCCTTTACTGCTAGAGGTGACTGTTACCCAACCAATTCTGAGCCTTGAGAAGTCTACTGGGGGCACTTCTAGGAAAGCTTCTATTTTCCTAACAAAAAGGGATAGACACAGCTGGTGTGGCCTTTACTATTCCTCTGCCTTTCTGCCTTGAAAACATACTCGATTTCTGGAGCTGTGGCAGCCATCTTAGACCACGAGGTACTAAGCATGAGAATGAAGGTCAATACACTAATGATAGAATGCAAAGATACAAAGAGCCTGGGTCTCTGATGGCACAGTTGAGCAGCTGACCCAATGTTAGAAATTACCTTCAAACTGTTTATTATTTGAAAACATTAAACCCTCTTTGTTTAAACCATCAGCCAAATACAATCCCAATGCCTTTATTCTGATAATAGCGCCCCAACTTTCCCTTGAGAAATCACCCTTCTTCCACAGTTACTCTTATAGTTTGAGAGTGGCTGCCTCCATCCCCTCAGCTGCACTTGACCTGAACCAGACAGTGTACTGTATCTTGGCCAAGTGACTTACTCAAGGATAAGCATGTGACCCAAGCCGGATCAAGAAGGCTTCGTTTCTGGAATTTATAGAAAAGGGTAGATTCTTTATACACATATGTTACTGAGTGCAGTGTAAATTGGGAGCTACTGTTGGCTACCCTGCCAACATAGAGAGAGCCTGAGAACACAGCCACTAAATAGTCTAAGAGATGAGAAAGAGATTCCCGAAGACATTGTTTTTATGACTAGATCCAGCTGGGTCTGAGGACAGCTTTTACCTGGATTTTTTAGTTATTTGACTCAGTAAATTTCCTTCTTGTCTAATCAGTTTGAATTGCATCTGTCGCTTGCAACCCAAACAATGCTGACTATCTTGGCATTCAAGGCCCTCTATGATTTGAACCTACCTTCTGACCATATTTCTCACGGTTCAACTTCATCTAACATATCTTCATTTACTCAGTAAAACTGTACCCAATTCCCCCGATCTCAAATTGCCTTCAGACATGCTGTTCCCTCTGCCAGAAATCACTCCGACCTATGTCTTCCTATTTCCAAATCCGACCTATCTTTGGTTGTCTAAATGTCACCTTCTCCAGGAAGCCTTTGATTCTTCCAGCTGAAATTAACCTCTTCTTCCTTTAAAAGACTCTAGTAACTTCATCCACACAACTCTTAATTAAGGCATCTGTTTCTTCCCCCATTAAGGGAATCTTTAACTGGACAAGAGCCTCACTCATTCCTGCATTCCCCCAGAGTGCAGCACATGGTCCCTGAAGGAATTACTCAAGAAATGTTTGTTGAACGATTACATGAATCTTTCTCCACATTAAAGGTAGTGATCTGCTCAAAACAGAAATTTCATCATATCCTGCCCTCTACTTCAGAAATGTCCATGACTTTCCATTCTCTCAAATTAAACATCAAAATCCTTAAGGTGAACATCATCTGGGCCCCATCTATCCCTCCAGCCCCAATTGCTTCCCCTTTTCCTTCCCTATATCCCATACATACTGGCCTTCCTTTAACTCACTGCACTAGCCATACTCTCTCTTACGGCGCTTGCCTTAAGGCCTTTGCACAGGCTGTTCCCTCTGCCTGGAACACTCTTTCCTCCCCCACTTCCCTAGTCAACACTTATTTCTCCTTTAGATCCCAACTGAAGTATCATTTCATTACCTTAGGGAAGTCCTCTGTGACCACCTAGTCTAGGTCAACTTCTTTTAGTTATAACCACTCAAAGAACCATGTTCCTTTCCTACAGAACACTCACCTCAATTTGTAATTACATATCCTTCAGGGTTAATCTTCCAGTTTTTGTCTCTCTCACTAAACTCATAAACTCCAGGAAAGCGGGGACGGTATCTGTTTAAACTCACTATTGTAACTCCAGAGCTTAGCACTGTGCTTGGCATACAGTTGGTCATCAATAAATATTTGATGAATGGACAAGTACACACAAATTAACATTAAGGGAAGAAAAAAAGTGAAATTATATCCACAAGGTGATCACAATCATGTAAATACTATTAATATATAAAAATGAGAAGGGCTGACAGAGAACCAGAAGTAGTGAAATAGGGGAAAGTGGTGAAATCCTCTCTTGTGGCTTCTTTAAGGATGACAGTTAAGGCCTGGAATCGTGTAGAATCGAGTTCAAGCCCTAGCTCTGCCATTTCATAGCTATGTATGCTGGCCAAGTCATTTCATCTTTCTAAGCATTGGATTTCTCAGTGGTTAAGGAGTCAAGGTACTCACCTCATTGGGTTGTTGGAAGGATTAAACAGGCTAATACATGTAAAGTGCTTAGCACATACATGACACACTAACTAACTACTGCTATTATATTTATCACTGAACATGTCCATTGGAATGTAAGCCTCTGAAAACAAGGAGGGCATCAAAGTCTCTGTATCCCCCACTAAGTAAAGTTGTATAGGCCTATCACAGGTCTGTGTTCTACAAACATTTGCTGAATAAATAAACTTGAAAAAGTTTGGAATTCATCGTTTTCCTCTATCTAGCTGGGCAACCAGACCCTGAATGGTTCAGAATCATGAGCTGAAAATAAAAGACCTAGGTGAAGAATTCCTTTTTCACCAACAGTCAAGCTGCCAAGAGGAAAAGGAATAGATGAGACACTTACCAGCAAGGTGTCCAGAGCATCAATTAGAGTCAGAGAAAAGCTGTAAAAGGACAGAAATCCCAGCTGCTTAGTAAGAAAATCAAACACCACATATCAAGACTGCCCCAGATCAGTACCCAAAAACCTAATACATGAAGCACCGCAATACCTCTGCCTATCCCACTGCCTGTCAGAACAGAGAAGCCATTGTGAAAATTGCCAGGAACCTCTGACCCATTTAATGCACCTGGGAGAGTGGACTGATGTAAGCTCAACTGTAAGTAAACACATTGCCTCCATTCCCTGGCATTCTTCTCTGCCAAAGGGAGGCAGAATGAGATTGCAGCTAAGAGTACAGGCTTTTCCACACTTACAAACTTATCTCACAGTTCACAGAACTCTGTGCTTGAGAATGCTCCTGTCAGTTTAGAACAGCAAAAAGCTAAAAATAACCCATATGCACACCAGCTGAAAAGTGACTAATTGAATTGTAGTACATTCAAAGAACACAAAATTATGAGGTTATCAAAAAGACTGTTATTGAGTTCTTTAAAAAGAGTCCTATTGGCTAATGTTAAGCTACTCTATATTGTAAAATGAAAAAGGTAAGGTACAGAGTGGGCAGTATACTATGTTTCTATCTGCATTTTCAAAGAGACATATAGAAAGGAAGCAGATTAGCAGTTGTTTGGGCTGCTGGTGGTAGAGGGATTAACTAAAAAGGGGCACAAGGGAACTTTTTAGGGTGTTCTGTCCCTTGACTGTGATATCAGAACATCAGAAATGTTCTACTTGTTGACTGTAATAGTGGTTACCACATACTTTAAATGGGTGTATTTTATTATGTGTAAGTTATGCCTTTAAAAAGTTAATTTTAGCCCACCGGGGGTGGCTCAGAGGTTGAGCATAGACCTAGGATCCAGGCAATCAGGGTTCGATTCCCAGTCAGGGCACATGCCCGGGTTGCGGGCTCGATCAATGACTCTCTCATCATTGATGTTTCTATCTCTCTCTCTCTCCCTCTCCTTTCCTCTCTCTGAAATCAATAAAGATATATTAAAAAGTAAATAAAAAATAAAAAATAAATAAAAAGTTAATTTTAAAAGCTACTTATATGATGTTATAAACTGAAAATATTTCTGGACGGATACACAAGAAAGTGGTTCGAATTCTAGGGTATGGGAGATACTTCCTTTTACTTCTACGGCCTTGTATTGTGTGAATTTGCCATCTGCTTGTATTACTTTTTCAACTAAAAAACAAAAACCAACACCAATTGTGTTAACGTTACTTAATTTGTCCCGCCCGTAGCATACGCATTTGTAAAATGGAGATAAGCGTTAAGAGAATTAAATGAGATAACAGGGTAAAATGCTTAGCACGGCGTTTAATAGATGTCAGCTTCAGTTAAATGCAATGATCTCCTGACTCAGAAGGAACGAGACGGAGAGTTCCATCGCTTCCAGGTTTTTATTCTAGTGTGAGAAAGGCAAACCGGCGGCCAAGAGACGACGACAGTATCAGAGAGGTGCTAAGCGAGGCGAGGGTGCCGCGGCAGCGGGCTTTCACCTCACCGAAGCAGCGGCTCTCAACTTCCGCCTTTGGGAGTCACATCCGCTCCGGGGTTGGCCCCTCCCCCGTGAAGCGCGGGGGCCGCGCCTCCCGACTTCCCCGAGCCTCTGGCGGACCTTCTACAAACCAGGTGCGCCACGTCCCCACAGCAGGTGCCCGTCCGTAGGCCGGTGGCTGGAGTGCAAAGGTTCAGGCCGCCAGGCTCACCCAGGCCTTTCCCACCTCGGGACCCAATCTCCGGGGGGCTGGGGGCGCGCGGCCTCGCCCTGGTCGGCGGTCTCTCCGGATCCGGTCGGGACACCGTGGGG